GAATTCCCAATAAGTTTTTGTGTCAAATGACCCTCTTCATATTGAAAAAACAAAAGTTGGATCCAAGATGCCCGACTTCAAAATGGCCACCATGGTCACCACCCATCTTGAAAAGTTTGCCCCCTCACATATACTAATGTGCCACAAACAGGACGTTAATATCACCAACCATTCGCATTTTATTAAGGTGTATCCATATAATTGGCCCACCCTGTATATATCAGGGGTTCTCTTCTCTATTGGACCTGGATACATAACTGATTCAGATTCTCATTAGCAGAGAGCTCAATAAACAGTAACTTTAGAGAACTTTTTTTAGTTTTTAGAACGGTGTCACTGCAGAGAGACGAATGTGAGACAAGTGCACAGTGAAGTTGACAATCACAAGTACACCATACAAATAATATTCATAATAAAACAAAATGTAACCAGACATATTTTTGTCAAATTCTCCTGTTAAAAGTTGATGGTGACGTCATGTTGGTGTGTAACTTCTCCAGGTGTGTAGTCTATCCTCTCCACTCGTCCCTGTCCAATGAGGAGCAGCAGGCTGTGTTTACCCGCCCACAGAATGGTGTTACCAAAATCATCATTTCCACAAACATTGCTGAAACTTCTGTCACCATTGATGATGTGGTGTATGTCATAGACTCTGGACGGATGAAAGAGAAAAGGTTTGATAAACTTCATTTTGAGGCTTATGCTGATATTTCATGAGCCATGCAAAAGCATTTTGCTGAAATACACTACGTTTTTTAGGGTTTAATTTGTGCATGTTTGTGCTAGGTATGATGCCAGTCGCAGTATGGAGAGTCTAGAAGATGTGTGGGTGTCTCGTGCCAATGCTCTTCAGAGAAAAGGCCGTGCTGGTCGTGTGGCATCAGGGGTTTGCTTTCATCTGTTTACAAGCCATCGCTTTGAACACCATCTGAGCCAACAGCAGCTGCCGGAGATCCAGAGAGTTCCTCTGGAGCAGCTCTGTCTACGGTAAGCATCTTTAAAGGAAAACCTTCAATGCTAAACCTAAGTAAATCTATTGTAAGATCTTAAATAATAGTCTCTTTAAATTTGCATGGCTTTTAATAATTTTTTACTTGATTAACTGGGGTTTAAGACACTTTTAATTCAGTGAAACTATATTCGATAATTTCCTTGAAATAACTGTATTTGGAGAAGAAAAACTAATTATTGCAAAATTTTACATCTACACAGTTATTGTAAGGAATTATTGGCTTCAGGTTGATAAATTATCAGAATTTGCTATGAAGATGTTCTATGAAGACTCTAAGCCCGATCATACACCCGGTACAATAAGGCACAAGATGTGTATAGCGCGATTTGTTGCTATTTTTAGACCAGCGCAACCCTAATTGACCCTTCACTAAGCCCTGCCCTCCTTAGTTACTGTTGCTACGCCTGTCAAGCTTTCGTGTTTGGCACGTCTATCACAATATGTATTCGCCGGTGTCAGACATTCCCAGGAATATAATTAGTTATTTTTGGCGAACAGGAAAGAGAACTGTGGTTTCTCTTTTTAAGACAAAAAACCTGATCAACTAATTGTTGTGCAATGAAATATAGTTACTATCCGACAAGGAAACACGCATGGACAGTGCTTCTACATAATTCAATCATAGAAAGAGCAACCAGAAAGGGGAAATTGATGCATTTGTGCCGAATATTAGCATCATTGACCCATAACAATGTACAGCACCTATGACTGTCAGTATGTTTGTGTGTTTATACAGTTTCTATTCTAATTTGCTGTTAAGTGGAATAAATAAATAAATTGAAAAGCAAATCAAAGTATAAATAGCAGAAGTGAACAAATCGATTTTCCCTACCAGCAAATATTAATCCGACACCAAGTATAAAAGCAGACACTAACCCGCTATAACGTCTTCACCAATGACTAATGTCCAAAAGAAAGACGAAAACATCGGTAAATAGCTCTGACATGGCCACATTGGATATGATGACTGAAAAGCAGCTGCTGGGAAATTATATTGATCGCAAGTGCTCAATTTGTGATCACATCTCGGTTTTGTTCTGTTGACATGTAATTTGAAATATTTGTAGCCTGAAATTAAAATATGACTGCTATTAGTATGACTTCTATGGCGAAGGCAAAATGGAGTAGTGGTCATAATAACGAGAAAAAAAAGAAAAAGACAGCTTGGAAACATAACCTTCTTTGTATTTTTGCAGGAAACACAGTTTACATCTTTCTGAATGTGTCAGGAATATATTTCCATCCTTAAAATAGCAAAAGTGAATACGGACACGGCTATAATGCTTTTGCACCCTGCGCTTTAGACTTTGTGCCTAGATCGTTAAAATAGAGCCTGAAATCTCAAACAAAATTTGGAGTTTAGAGTTTTTGACCAGTTTGTAGATTGAGGCATTATTAAATATTTTTGTCTCATACTTATAAACTATGTCAAAGTTTATAATTAACTATAAAGAGCCCCTGCAGATCAGCTACTGGCATTTGAAATAGCCTATGAAGTTTTGTAGGTATCGCCACAGTAGGACTTTATGTTGTGTCTTATATTCTTCTCTTACGTTGACTTGCTCTTGAATCTACCCCTGCTATTTGTCTGTTAGTTTCTTTATATGTAATGCATAATCTCCATCCATACTTAAAGCATTAATCAACTTCTTCAATATCAATCAACTTTGTAGTTTGATCTCAAGCCTTGGCCAAGAACTTAGAAAGCACCAATCAGAGGCCACGTTTTTATTATGATATCATGTGGACCTCTTATAAAGTATTTTACAGTATTTTAAAAATACAAGACACTAGCGTATTTTGATACAAAATATTACCGCATTTTCATAAACCCTATCAAATACAACTGACTATGTTGTATTTAAAATATGTATTTGAAATATATGTATCATAAATGGTTATGTGGAAATGTGACTTTTCAATTTTTTTGCTGTTCCTTTTACAGAATGGATGTAATATAATTAAAATATATTCAGTTTAATAGACTTAAGCTTTCATTTATTTGTTTATTGTTTGTATAACGAAATGAAAACTGTTTAAACGCCATCAGGAGCAGCAGACGAGCACAGAAACTTCATTGAATATAGTGTGGTGTAATAAATTTCCACATTTTAAAGACATGCCATGGGACAATGGGATTTAATGCAGTCCTTCTTTTACAGTCTGAGACCCACTTTATATTGTGTATCAATTAAGCAGTGAAGATCATAGATTTTTAAAGAAAGCAGAAGTTAAACGTGGTGATATTGTAACTGCATACAGTTTACCGGAAGAGCTTAATCTGGGATACTGACCTGGCCTATACCCTATTACACTATGGCCCAGTTTCACAAACAGGGCTTAGATTAAGCCAGGACTAGGCCTTCGTTAAATTAGGCTATTTAAGCCAAATTTATAAAAATGGCCTTGGGAAAATATATTATTGGTGTGCACCTGGTGAAAAAAATGACACTGGTGTATGTTAAGACATCTCACCGCAAGTTATTTTGACTTGAGAAAGCTCAAACATGCAATTTAATATTGACTAGCCTTAAACCTTGTTTGTGTTATCTGGTTTTGCATGTTGATCAAGAGTTACTAAGAGTGCCAAGAGTGCCACTTTAAGTTGTAAACAGTTTTATTTAATGTGTCTCATATTTGAATATAACTATTGATAGCTTTATTTATGTTATTGTTGTTTTCCTGTTCATTTTAGTACTTATTTCAAAGGAATTGAACCCTCTCTCCCCCAGGGTTAAGGTGCTGGAGGTGTTTGCTGAGCGTCCTCTGGACTCTGTTTTCTCTCAGCTGATTGAGCCGCCCACAGAAGGCAGTCTGGAAGCAGCTAAACAGCGCCTGTGTGCCCTTGGTGCCCTGACAGATGAGGAGTCTCTAACTCCACTGGGCTGGCATTTGGCCTGTCTGCCAGTGGACGTGCGAATTGGTAAACTCATGCTGCTGGGAGCCATCTTCCGCTGCCTCGACCCTGCCCTCACCATTGCTGCCAGCCTGGCCTTCAAGAGTCCATTCGTAAGTCAATCAATATCTGATAAAAATCATCAGTCTAATGCAGTATTGTTTCCTGAGATGACTGTTTTCTTGATGACTCCACTCGAAGGTGTCTCCATGGGATAAACGAGAAGAAGCTAATGAGAAGAAGTTGGCTTTCTCTCTTGCGAACAGTGACCATCTAGCTTTGATGCAGGCGTACAAGGTCAGTATTTTCAATTTATGAAATAATTCTGATAAAAATGTTCCATTGTTTTACTTCAGAAATATTTAGCAGCACTACTGCTATCAAGATGAATGATTTGTGAAGGTTCTTGTGACATTAGCTGGTTTTCAATCCTAACATGAAGCAAATCTTTTCAAAATTCAGATTTTTCTTTTTAAAAGATCCCAATTGAGAATTAGGTGCAATTTTATCAAGCTGTCAGAGCGGCTGACTGCATTAACCTAGCAACCAACAGTAAACAAGGCAAACATAATAAGTCGCTTCGTCAGAGTTTATTTGGCAAATGCGTTTTCATCTCCCATTATTTGCATGAACCCCTTTCTCACAAATCAAAAATACCACCTCAAGTGAACGTGAAAACAGTTAAATTTGCTGTTTTTATCAGTAGTTTCTCATGGGATACTTCAAAATGCGCATTGACACAGGATGATGGAAACCCTAGCTACTGAAGGCTGAAGCAATGGCTGCTGCAAATACACATTAATCAATAGGCATGTATTTAATTGTGAATTCAAAAGGAAAATGAGTTAATTTAACCTGTAATCATTTTTCTCAGTTTTACTCCTTTTTTGTATTTTATGATAAAATAATTGCAATATCATAGCTTTATAATATATTTTATTAACTCATATTGCAGTTTAATAATAATAAATTCTATACATTGCTATGAAATTAAGTTATTTTACTCAATATTTATTCATAGACCACATGTGTATAGTATATTCTCTTTAAATATTGCTCATTTTCCATAAACCTGCTGTTGGTAGATAAGGGTTCATCTATTAGTCCAATGACAGAACTAACAACATGGGTGAAGGTTAAATTCACGTAAGCCTTGTTAGCACATGTGTAAAGAAATATTTTCATTTGTTAAAATTTATTTTAATTTGTTTCCAACTCCGAATTTAATCTGACTCCTTTTTTATAATAATTTAAATTTAGATTGATCCAATTCAAGCTGATTACCTTATACTGTAGGTTGTCATTTGGTGTAATTTAAATCGATTAACCTAATAAATCCTTATTTTTGTCGCTTAGAGTCAGTAAACTGGCCAGTTACATCTGCTTATGGACACAACTTCACCAGTTCTAGTTTTTAAATAGAGGATATAACCGTAAACTAATTTCCTTTAATTAATATTAGGCCGCCCCATGCTTGCTCATACATAAAGAAAGTTTGATTTAGCCACTAGATTATATCATACTAAGTCAGTGATTGTCAGAAATCAACAGGTCTCTAATGCTGTGCCTATGCTCCATCCATTATTCCTAGGCATATGAGCAATCCTGCGCAAACATCAGCATAAACAATCTACTAATTACAAAGATTTGAGGAGATATTTGAGTTAGACAAGAATTTGACATTTATTTGTCAGGCAAAGACTTTCCATTCCAATTCACATCATTAAACAAAATAAGCCAATTCAGAAATGCACAACATCTAGTACCCAAAGATACATTTAAGAGTTAGAGATTAATACCTAACCGTGTAGAATACATTGCACCTTGATGCAGAGTTTAGAGTCTCACACACTGCAACTTGGTATCCTGATCTCCCAGACGCTTTTGCACCTTTCAGCAGGGTGTTTTCACACCTCTAGTTTGGAAAAAGTCAGGAAAGTGGGAGTGTCCAGCTCTGTTTTGGGGGGAGTGTCGGAGGAGGGAAAGTGCATAAAAATTTGCATAAAAATAGGAGTTCCGGTTAAGGCACACACTGATTTTCACAGAGGCAAAATAAACACAGACACAGGGCAGAAGACCGTGAATGTGTTTACATGGATAACAGTAATCGAATTATTTGACAAAGTATTAAATGGTGGACTTTAACTGCAGTTTGGCACTTTCATTCAGGAATTTAATTTCTGCCCCTCTTGACAAATGGGATATTTGATCAGAGGAATTGCTGGAAGCGTGTATTTTTAAAGCAATGTTTGATACCGCATGGCGAATGAGAGAAAAAAACCTCTGCATTTCTCGAAAACTTATAAGCACTCAATAGGTAGCGTCAAAAGCTGTGTGTGTTATTCCTGTCACAAAATGTGGTGAAAATCCTACACGACGATAATAGTTTGATTGTGGTGCTTACACGTTTACACTCGGAGAGCAGCGTCTACAGCGGATCTTTCAATCTATGATATTATAGTGAAATTAACGTACGGTAAACTTTAGTAACTTAGAAATCAGTTGACTAAGGTCCATCTTTCAACACTGAAAGAGTACTGATGACGATACAAACTACCACTGATCGAACCAAATCTGTAGAGACAGGACAATCAACACTGGAGCTGCGTCTTTATTAAAAGGAGACGAGCAGCAAATCCAGATTTCACCATTTCCAGATGAGAAAAGCTCTCGGGTTAACAATGTTCCTTACAAACGGGTTTTTGTCAAGCGTCGCGTGCACTGTAATCCACACGTGAGTCCAGCTGCCCTCTCATAGCTAGAAAATGAAAACAAAACCTTCGATACAGCAAATTATAAAAGCAACTCTGATGACTCGTATCTCCAAACTAATCTTCTTCTCCCTCTTATTTTGGCAACACAACGTGGTGTCTCTCTCTGCCGTCTGAACACTGTAACAGGTAAAACAGTCTTCCAAGCTATCATGCATATTAATGAAGTTGCACTGCATACACAATGGAGCACGTTGATTGGTTTAAGCCAAGTCTTTCTCATGAATTAATACTGCCCACTCAGAGACATCACAAAGTACTCCCAGGTACAGAAAGCCAGTCTACACGCTGGATTACACACAAGTACCTAATCGGCGTGACGCAGCTTCAAAAATTCTTTCAAACCGGAAGAATGAATTTGCTCGAAATAACGCAAAAGCAACCAATTTTCACTTTTTTGTGAAATATATGTGTCCTAATAGTGTTTTTAGCAGCGTGGGACACAAATATGACTGTCAACAGCTCAAAAAAATGTGTTTCAGTGTTTCGTGACCCTTTAAATACTGAAATCACAACAAACCATCATAAATTCAAGTCAATAAAAGCTTCACTAGGACATTTGTCTGGTTATGAGTTGATGTGATGACCATTTTCCCTGGAGTGGGGCATTTGGCAAAGATCTTATCAAAGCCGAAACTCAAATCAACAGATATAAGGAAAATTGTAAAATATTAGAGAAATTAAGATCACTTTACCAATCACACAGAGACCTTTAAAATGACACCAAATATGAAGGTAGAGCCACAAGATACACCATATTAAAAACTTGGACATTCTATGTTGAATGTGTGTGATCTGCTCTGGTGGAGAAGGTAAAGTCAGGGGGCAGAGAGTGGGGCTCAGGATGCATGATCTTCTTCTCGGATTGGAAAGTTTATTGTTTTAGTGCCTGACAATTCTCGTGGTCTTGCCTTCTGGAATTTCATAACAATTCTCAGGGTTTATTATTATGGAGAGACTTAGCCATCCTTAAAATTTGGAAGATGAAACCAGAAACACTTCTGTTAATTAGATTGATAGACACTTTATCATCTGATTTTAACAATTATAAATGATCAGTCTTCCAAAATACATTGAATAAATAAATGGGTTCATATTGTTTTGGGGGTATATAATTTGAACCTAATCAGATGTAGTTTAGTGCATGTTTTTATTTATTAATTTTTGCAGTTCTCTCAATAGATTTTCATGAAATGTGCTGTTTTAGGTATGTTTTATACATCATGAAGTCTTGTACTGGTTTGTGTTTGTTCAGGGTTGGTGTAACGCAGCTCAGAGCGGCTTTAAGGCTGGATATCAGTATTGCAGAGAAAACTTCCTTTCAATCCGAGGATTACAGGTAATACTGTTCTCTGATTGGCTCAGCGTAGATGTCAGTCATACCAATATAACTTTTTTTGTTGTGCGTGTGCTTGTGTATTCTCTCTCAGGAAATAGCATGTCTTAAAAGGCAGTTTGCTGAGCTCCTGTCTGACATTGGCTTTGTGAAGGATGGACTAAAGGCCAGGGTCATTGAAAAAATGAGCTCAAAGGGAAGTGATGGGGTGCTGGAGGCTACAGGCTATGAGGTAATCGTGATTCTCGAGGGCTGGGGCAAAAAACAGACTTGAGAACTGGGATAAGTGTATGCACTAACATCATCGAAATATTAAAACAAGGTTTTCTATATAGTGTTTCTGAGTTATTTAGCCTCATTTAAATGTTTTCCTATATTTTGTGATGTGTTCAGTGTAAAATGACCATGTCATTAGATTTGATTTCTTAATTTATGATACCTTTAAATTGAAACCTATTTGAAGAAATGCATTTTTAATAGAGTTTGTCTTAAATGTTTATTTTAGTGGATTTCATCATATGATAAATAGCATAATTCTGTTAAATTAACAGAAAATGAAATGCTGCATTAGTGTCATTGTAATGATTCTAGTCTATACTGATTAGTTACGTTTACATTAAAAATCAAGCTATTTTTAAAATTAACAACAGACAAATTGTGCAAGATGATTTATATAAACTCAGATAATGAGAGCTTGTTGATAGTGGTAATATGTGCGTCTTGTGATGTCTATACATTCCAGACTTCAGACTGTAATTGATTGCAAAGGATTTGCAGCCAGGTATTCAAACGTTAAAGTTAAATTTATGATTATTATTCTGTCCAATTACTTTTGGACCCTTAACAAGTGGGAGACACATATGCAAACGTAAATGCAATTTCTACACCGTTCACCCGATTTGGATGCAAATTAAATTAAATGATTTTAGCATATGGCTGTAATATAACAAAGAGTGAAAATGTAAAGGAGTCTGAATACTTTCCATACCCACTGTATATAAACACAATGGCAAAAGCATATATTCAGTAAAAGATAATATGACATAAGTAACATGTCCACAAAATGTGACCTGTTAATATTCTGTTCTACTGTAGGCCAACCTGAACTCCGACAACACAAAGCTGATGTCAGCCATGCTGTGTGCAGCCCTCTACCCTAATGTAGTCCAGGTCAGTGTCACTCATTTCTCTGGTAAATGTGAAAGATGTGAATGTTTGTTTAACAGGGCTTGAAATTGCGACCATTTTGGTCACATATGCGACCGAAATTTTACCTATGCGACTTCAAAATATATTTGGGAGCATTTGTGCGAGTGCAAAAAATTGTTGTGTGCGACCACCTTTTACTGCAAAATGGTCACCACATGCGCGGATTCGGAAGACATTCACGCAGAATGCATCTCTACATTTGAAACGCCGCGCTCGGGAATGGTTTTAAACAGCTGCCATGTCAACCCGCCTTCGCGCTCTTCTTATTGGCTCACATCTCTAGCACTGAAATATCAGCTGTCAATCACTCAGTCAATGCCTTCTGGCTTGGGATGACAGAGAGAGCTACTCCCGCGAAAAATTGTAAATCGCTGAAGATGAGAATGAAGATAACACTGACAGATTTTGTTTTAGAAATCATGGCATCTAAAGTTACAAATAATGACACATCTTACTAGTGATCATGTGCTAAATGTTAATCCACCATCTACACTTTTCCAAGAGTGGATAAAAGACTTCCGTTGGCTTCAAGTCCGCTATGAAAAGTCTGTGGGATGAAATTTTCAGGTAACTGCGTGCCACATCTAGCACGAGAGCTTCTGTTTATTCCGTCATTTAATCGTCAGATGCTGTCCGCTGTGCAAGTGCCAGCTATATGTCAAATTTAACACCAAGTACACCATCGCAAACGGGCTTACACTGAGTAAACTAATATCGCTACTCATGAAAAGTATTGCTATTAACATGACGTATGCATATAATAAGGTACAGTATGTCAAAAACATCAGTGCAATATTAGACACCACCCGTGAGAACAGCACAGTTATATCGTTAACAGATTCATTCATGTCAAAGTAGTGCGTGCAGGGCCAGTGAGCGCTCCGTGTATCTTTTGGTCACTCAGTTATGTTAAAAAATGTATTTTCTTGTGATAACGGCATTTCGTTGAGACATATTTTCCTCACGCTTGCATATATATTTTTTTGCTTGTTAGTTTGATTAGTGTTGATTTCAAGTGCAATAAATATGTTTGTATAAAACTTGTAGTAACGGTGCTTATAAGTGCGACAAAATTTTGGCTGATGCGCCTACGTTTTTAAAGTTAGGAGCACCAGTGCTACCAAGCAAAAAGGTTAATTTCGAGCCCAGTTTAATAAAATGCATGTTTAGGTGAGATCTCCCCAGATGAAGTATAAGCTCACTAGCAAAGGAGCTATGAAGATGCAGCCCAAAGCAGAGGAGCAGCGCTTCATGACCAAGAGCGATGGAGCTGTCCACATTCATCCCTCATCTGTCAACTTCTCGGTAACTATTTCAGATTAATTATATTTGAGCTAAATGTAGCACCTACAAATGTTTTGATTAATAAGAAATGTTTAGGGCCAGACTTTTTACGGAGTTCTACCAGTCAAGTGCAGTTTCTGTAGTGTGTTGTTACATCTGAGATCTTACTCTTTGTAGGTGCGCCACTATGACAGTCCGTACCTTGTGTACCATGAAAAAGTGAAGACCAGTCGAGTGTTTATCCGTGACTGTAGCATGGTCTGTGTGTATCCCATGGTGCTGTTCGGTGGGGGACAAGTGAATGTGGAACTGCAGCGTGGACAGTTCATCATCTCTCTGGATGATGGCTGGATCAAATTTGCTGCTGCATCTCATGAGGTAAATAAATCATGTGTACACTAGGGACAGGGAAGTTGTTCAGAGTTGATGAATGGAGCCAAATACAGGGCAATCTTAGATGAAAACCTGTTAATCCAGGGATACACCGAGCCAACGTCAAAGAACTAGCGGCAATAATAACAAACTGTTGTCGCCCTATTTGGTCCTCTCTGGACCAAAAAGCTGCATGTGAACACAACAAACAGATGACAGCCAACTGAATGAGAGTGTACATTCTGGACCTGTGTGAGAGGATGCATTTTTCAATACACGCAGGCGGCAGTAGTCTGTATTGTCATTCCACAAAGGGAAACAGGAACTAGTGCTGCACACATACAACTAAAGCAAACAGCATTCATTAAAAAAATCGATGCATTATGATTCTTTCTCTAATGATTCTGGATCAATTCTCAAAAGTTTCCAACCATAGATCATGTTAATGTGGGCCGGCTCAGGCAAGAGATCTAATTTTGGACAGATTGATAATTATAGTTGTGGTGCTTCTAATGCGTTGTGCAGCCAGCTTCTGGTCACTGTTCGAATTCCTCACACACCCGAAAGTGAAATCAAAACCTTGAGTTGTCATTGATGTGGTGCCGCTCTGTACTACTCATCTGGTGTCCCAGCGGTTTTAGAATCACTAAAGGACATTACAGCACCTTTTGTGACAGACATTTCACAAGACATTTCATTACAGCACACTCCATTATGAGTGAAGACACGCAACTTGTGTTTTGCAAACGTGGGTTGTGAATGAATGTAATCTTAGCCTACTGTACAGTGTTGCAAAACATAATGAAGCATTACTATGCTTTAACGCATGCTTGTTTCGGAAAGTGAATATTTAATGAATATTTAAACTTTTTAATTTTGAGACTTAAAGAGCATCTATGGTAAATAATCTACTTTTCAAGCTGTTTGGACAGACAGGTGTGTAGGTATAGTGTATAGACCGTCATATAGGGGTGATATAAACACACCCAGTCCTTTTTTTTCAATTTAACAAAACAAACACGGTGGAACAATAGGAGCGGTTTTGTGACCGACTGCAACTTGACGTAGGAGTGCGGCCCCACCTCTCACCAATATTGGTTGACAGACACGCATTACCACATGCTCAGTTTGTTGTTTTACGTCTGGCATTTTCAGCATGAGTCAAAGCGATGTCACCAAAGAAATACCCTTGCATTGTTTTTGTATGTAAGGCTCATTGGGCCCAACACAAGAGCCTTCATCGTCTTCCCACGAATGAGCAACTTACATTGTACATTTAGCAGCCATTTGCGTGAACATGCAGAGTGAATGCAATGTATCGAGATTCGGGCCATTAAAAACCACTGATCCACCGAGTCTTTCAGAGCTCTCTCTTAAAAATTTGATTGATCTCAGCTGGCAGATCAACATTCACCACATGATCGCTCTCATTGGTGCCATTGTTTGTAACTTTACATGAGTTTGCAAACGTGCACCTTTTTATTGCGTCTTCCTTAAACTTCAACTGTTTGTATTTCCCGCGGTCACTAAAGCTCCCTGTCATCTTAACTAGGTGCGGCAGGAAAGTGTGAGCGCGTTGCCTTGCGTGCGCTTCCCTCCATTGGAAATAACGAACTTGCCTTAGTTACAGCCTCAGTCAGAGTGTTGAGAAGCCTTCATGATTAATTAACTGTGACGAGTTAAAGCATGGTTAATAGTGAAACCGGTTAATCGTTACATCCCTATAAAGAAGATGCATGCATCGTTACGTAGCGGCTGTAAAACTATACAAAGACACAAATGATTTTGTAACTACCGCTCTGACACATTTGGAATATTGATTCATCAACAGTGGCTTGTGTCTGAGTTGTACATGTACGGCTGAATGCTGGTCCTCTCACTCATGTTGCTCCTCTGTCTGCCTGTCTGTTGCCATACACAAAGCGGGGGAGCTCTTGGCTCCGGCCCCTTGTTAAGTTAGGCGGGAAGTCCAGTATTAAGACGTACAAGTGTAAACCGGTCCTTAGTGAGTATTTTTCGCGAGCGGGTTGCTTCTGCGTAGGGGGCAGGGTGGAGGATCGCGATGCCGGCTTAGCATCATGATGTCTATCGACGATGGCATTGTCTGTCGACCTAACTCTAACACACACTGACTACTCGACGCTGCTCAAAGGCTGGTGTATCAGCTTGGTGTATCCCTGTGTTTAGAATAATAGAAGAAAAACTATTGTCTAACTAGTGTCTGCAAAAGACTTGATATTAGAGCACCTTCCAGCATGACAATGTCCCTAAACATACAACCAAAGCTGAAAATATTAATGTGTTAAAATTGCCCTGACCTAAAGTCCAGACCTAAACCAAATGGGGTATACGTACGACTTTATTTTTTAGCAAATGTTCAACGGATATGAATTATTTTACAAGGCACTGTAGTATAATAGTCTGCTAAGGTGGTGTAACAGTGGTTTGATGGCTCTAAACATGAATATACTGTAGCCATAGATGCTGGAATGATGGTCAGAAGAAAACAATACAGTGTAAGCTTTTATTAATTTCAACCTGTTTATGCAGGTAGCTGAGCTGGTGAAAGAGCTGCGATGGGAGCTGGATCAGCTTTTAGAAGAGAAGATCAAAAATCCCAGTATGGATCTGATCAGCTGTCCTAGAGGATCTCGCATCATACACACAATTGTGTCACTTATTTCAACACAGTAACGGTTTGTCAACCAAATACAGAGGGGATGTTCACCTGAATACCTTATAACACGAGTTCAAGATTTTGTTGACGTTCATTTTAGGTTCATTTTCTTTCACAGACTAGTTTGTAGAGTTTTGATATTGTGTGATTCTACACAAACAGGATCTGAATCAGAGTCCACATTGGACTGCTTTCAATAAATATCTATATTGAAAAAAATTCTAACAGAAAGCATGTGCATGAATCTTGAATGTATGGCTGAGAGGAATATGAACGCACTTATTGTTAAATATTATAAAAGGCAATGGTGTTTTGAATTCGTAACTTCTATGATGATGATGTGGGACTACTACTATAGCTTTGATAATGCATTATCAAAGGTATTGAACATAAAATGTCAAAATGTGTGTAATTATTTAAAAATAAACCATTTTACTCCAGTTTACTTAGTTTTTCTCGATTGCTAATATTTTAGGTGCGTCCCAGATCGCATACTTATGCACTATTGTACACCATTTTGTAGTATAAATAGTGTAAGTGGTCCGTTAACACTGCACTTTAATTACCTGGATGATGCACTTATTCAACCACTAAAATAAAGTGTGGAATGTTGGACACCTCACACACTCACCTACCGCAGATTTGCTCATGTAGCGGAAGGGGCGGAGCTTTCGGGGGCTCATGTTGGATTATGGCAAAGAGCTTAGAATGACCAAGAGGCGATATTCAAAAGAACGTTCCATTGCAACAGCAACGATCAGCCATCCATTGGATCTTATTGCTGTCAATATGGCAAGCAGCTGCTTTATTTCTTATTCATTCATTCATTTTCTTGTCGGCTTAGTCCCTTTATTAATCCGGGGTCACCACAGCGGAGTGAACCGCCAACTTATCCAGCAAGTTTTTACGCAGCGGATGCCCTTCCAGCCGCAACCCATCTCTGGGAAACATCCACACACATTCACACACACACATTACGGACAATTTAGCCTACCCAATTCACCTGTACCACATGTCTTTGGACTGTGGGGGAAACCGGAGCACCCGGAGGAAACGCTGGGAGAACATGCAAACTCCTCACAGAAATGCCACAGAAAAGGCTCGAACCAACGACCAAGCAACCTTCTTGCTGTTAGGTGACAGCACTACCTACTGCGCCACTGCTTTGTCCTGCTTTATTTTTTAATTTATTTATTTAAAAAGCGCATTAAAGCTGAGATGCAACCTGAAAGACGACAATACAACACTTACTATCACAATCATCGGCACTTTTAATAGTTTATTTTACACACTTATAATATGCTGTTGTTCTATTGGAATTTTCATTCCAAAATGGCCTCTGCAAGACACCATTTTGGTGTCAGACATCTAGTGTCTGTTTCCCAAATCGCACTAGAGCACAGGTGTCAAACTCAGTTCCAAAGGGGCCGCAGCTCTGCACAGTTTAGTTCCAACCCTAATTAAACACACCTGATCAAACTAATTGAGTCCTTCAGGCTTGTTTGAAACCTACAGGTAAGTGTGTTGGAGCAGGGTTGGAGCTAAACTGTGCAGGGCTTTGGCCCTCCAGGGATTGAGTTTGACACCCCTGCACTAGAGTGTCGCCTCTTGGCGATTTTATGCTCTTTGATTACGGTAAAGTCAAGATCGGATACGTGGCAGGCCGGAAGTGCGATATGCACATTAATATAGCAACATTTTTTATGACACTGTTAAAAGTATTTAATATTTTACATTAATGTGACCGTTAGGTTTAAGGTTGGGGTGGAGGTAGGCGTTAAAAATACAACTTATTGGGTAATTTAGTAAAAAAATAATAATAATACTTGGTACAACTACTGTTTTTTACATTACTGTGATGGTTGGGTTTAGGGTTGGAGTGGGCGTAGATGTTAACAAAATACAATAAATGAGAAATTTATTAAATAAAATAAATAATTCTTGTTAACTTCCAGCCGTTATCTTATGCGATCTAGCAACAACCTTGGATTACTTTATTTATTTTGGATTCTGAAAGCAAAATTCTCCTTCGAGAGTGATTATAGCACCTCCTGATGGTGAAGGCCTCAAGGTCGCTGGTATGTGCCTCGGCTGAGTCAGTTGGCATTTCTGTGTGGAGTGTGCATGTTCTCCCCATGTTGGTGTGGGTTTCCTCTGGGTGCTCTGGTTTCCCTCATGGTCCAAAGATGTGGTATAGGTGAATTGGGTAAGCTACATTGGTCGTAGTGTATGTGTGTGAATGAGTGTGGATGGATGTTTCCCAGTGATGGGTTGCAGCTGGAAGGGCATCCGCTGCGTAAAACATGCTGAATAAGTTGGCGGTTCATTCCGCTCTGGCGATCTCAGATTAATATAGGGACAAATCCCAAAAGAAAATGAATGAATGATTAAGAATGTGTTAAGAGTTTTGCTGAAAAGTCTAAGTAAGATCTGCACATTGTGTTTAACCATGTCAACTGGTATTGACAACAGACTGCACAATTAGCTAAATGGGGTCAGGCAACTGAGAACTTAGTTCAGCCAATGGGTTTTTAGTGTTTTAGCAATTGAGGAAAAACTGCAAGTCACAAAACATTTATTAGAATCTATTATGGTGGTATAATTTGTGCAAATGTGTATTTAAATGTCTGCATGTTCGAGTAATTCCACAACAAATTCACCCAAATACTTCAAAAGTATTTTGTAATCAAATGACATGATTTTAATATTGCACTTAAATCAATACAGAGTCATTACTGGAAACAGATTTTCTTATTAAATCCATTTAGTTCCTATCAAACCATTTTAGAGTAGCAATCATGTTAGTGTAGAATATCTACGGTAGGAGGAACATATATGCCCTACTGAAACACAAATATTATGGGCAGTTGTAGAAATACAATATCAAGTAGCAGTACACGATGGTCATGTAACGTTCTGCTTATTGCTGTATTAAGTTTGACCAATTTTATTTCACATCTTTCTGTAATTTCACACCACAGAGAATGTGAAGCGTGTTGTATACGAGTATGTCTCTCCTGGCCTCAGCAGAGCATCTGGAAAATGGGGCTGAGGAAAGAAAGAGAACAACTATTCATTCCTTTTTTTCATGGACTAAAGCAAAATTACATACCGATAAACATGTACACAAAGATGGTCTGTGTACAATATATAGTGTACTATACAGAACAGTTCAAAATTGTGGAAGGAATTATTTTCCCAAAACTAAATAATGTTATTTACTCACCCTAACCCTTGTCACAAACCTGTTTGAGTTTCTTTTGACTATAATTTGAAAAATCTTAGGCAAGTGATAACCACTGACTTCCATCAAACTGACTACCAATAATAAGTTAAACAAAAGAGCATAGAATCACCAAGAGGCGACACTCTAGTGCGATTTGAGAAACAGCCACTAGATGGCAGCTATTTTGGAATGATAATTCCAATAGAACAGAAGCATATTATAAGTGTGTAAAATAAACTATTAAAAGTGCTGATGATTGTGATAGTGAGTGTTGTATTGGCGTCTTTCAGGTTGTATATCAGCTTTAATGCACTTTTTAAAATAAATAAATAAAAAAACAAAGCAGCTGCTTGCCATCGCGACAGCAATAAGATCCACTGGATGGCCGATTGCTTTCACCCCAAAATGGCAGAATTTGAGGCTGTTGCTGGGCGCTGCTGTTGCAATGGAACGTTCTATTGAGTGTCGCCTCTTGGTCATTCTAAGCTCTTAGTTAAACTCATAGATATATACACTAGATGTCGCCTGGCCTATTGGACGGAATGCGTCAATAGCGCTGCCATCTTGCTACAGGGTAGCTCTCCTTTGAAATGAATGCGGGACCAAGGTACAGTGGAGGACTATGGCCATCCAAAGTCAGAGATATACACATATACACATATATCTATGATCGGGAGTTTTCCTGGATGTTAGTATGTAATTTTTTTTTTTCTAATTACGAAAATTATAATTTTACATCACTTTTCTACATTGATGTATCAGTGACCGCACGGGCATTCCTGACAAAAAGCTTGTGTTTGTGTGTACAGAAATGTACTATCCACCCTCCCTGTTAAATTTGATCCAATCATGTCCTGAAACACACCTCCTCTGCTGCTTTCACTTCTCATACTGACGGAGGGAGCGATTCATTTGTGAATGAATCCCCCGAACGACTCTTTCACTAACGTTAGCCGACAATAATACAAGTTTCTGGCAGCGCAGCATCTCATTGTCATATTTCTTTCGCATTGTTTGCTGATTTTATTCAACAAAACTAGCATAAGCCGAGTGTTTAGTGCGAGTTGGAGCTGCTTTGCCTTATGGTAAATGCAGTAAGTGACTGTTATTATCAATAACGTTACCTGATTAGCACAAAAGTTCAGAACATACAAAAACAGAAAAAAACTTAATATTACCTATGAAATGTTCTGCCTTTGTGCTTTGTTTTCTTTGTTTGCTTGTTACTACACCCGTAGACAGCGATAAAGTCCAGCATCTTCACGTAATAACACTCTTGACTAGTGCGGTTGAATGACACTTGTCCTGGGAGCCCTGTACCAATGTGGCAGCGCTATTGAAGCATGCTCAGGGTCCCTATGCGATATCTAGTGTATATATCTATGAGTTAAACCAAAGACTAAAGAATACACAAGACATGTCACTCGTATACTTTTGAATGGGGAAAAGTGTATCTGTCAATATGGCGAATAAAGCCCCGCCTTCTAGTACAGGTTTCTGGAGGGCCGGTGTCCTGCAGATTTTAGCTCCAACCCTAATCAAACACACCTAAACAAGCTAATCAAGGTCTCACTAGGTATACTTGAAACACCCAGGCAGGTGTGTTGAGGCAAGTTGGAGCTAAACCCTGCAGGGTCCGGACCTCCAGGAACGAGATTGGTGACCCAATCAGTTCAGACTGACATTTCTCCGGGGCAGGGGCTTGGACTAGATGTTGATTTCTGCATTTTTAGTGTGACTCAAACATTTAGAAATTAAACTATGGAGACAGTTGTTGCCTAATGTAATTGTTGTTTCATGATATGAAATTTAATCGTAAGCTTGGCAAGCAATTTTGGAGAATTTGATGTTTTCCCATTCAAACAGAATGCCCGAGAGGCATATCAAAGATGGCCGCCGCGTGAAATGACTTGCCTTAAAGGGACTTTGGTTAAACTTTGTATAACTAAAAAAAAAAGTTGAAACATGATTAACGCATTAACATTATTAACAGTAACCAAAACTTTTATTTTCATGACTTTTCGTCATGTTAAGTGTAACTGTAATCATTTCTTTCAGGATAATTTGATCAATCTTTTCTTTTGTGACATTATAAATGTACTGTTGATACATATATTGCTTTGTTGCTGAATAAAAGTATTTTTAATATATAGTAATAGTAAACTATAAAACCTTATTAACCCCACACTTATCCAGTAATGCCACTTATAATGT